CACAAAAGTATGAATGGGATAAATATTCAAAACATTTATTGAAGATTAAATATAACCATGAGAGGTTCAGAGGTAACTGTGACTAAACTCAAGTTAAGCACGTGATACCACGATAATATTTGGATCACTGTATAATTTTTTTACTGATGTAGAAAAGCATATATGGTATGCTCAATGATGAGTATATGATAAAATTTTTTTTAAATTTGATTCTAACGTAAATATGGCAGTAGTGATTATTTTCAGAAATAGAAATATAATAGAAATATAAGAAATATTTTCCGAGACCACTGCTGATGGGTATTTGGTAATACTCGAAACAGCTATATAGTCAGCCAAAAATTCAATTATTTAAAATAATATAAAAATATTTTCTGTTGTTGTAGTTCACTACTTTTCAAAACTTCTCTATAAAAATCTTTTTGGTGATGTTGAAGAGCATATATAGTTGTAAGTTCAAAGGAGTTTCTACAATCTGGATGTAACGATTATTGCGTACACGCATTAAACATATGCATTAAACATATTTTTAAGGAGTATTTCGTCTGTCTACATTTATTTGTATTATAACATATTTAATTTACAATCTTAATTACAGTACCATATATAAAAAGTACAATAAAGCAAATATGCCTTCGGCATACGTTTGTCTCAGGAATTTGTGCTCGCACTGAATCAAAGGAAAAATCATTTAAAAGTTTTATTTATAATGGTTTTCTTCCTTTATTTCAGAGGGAGTACACTATTCTACCAACATGGTTGACCTTCTCTTAGCGGTTTACGAATTTCTGATATTTCATGAAATGAAATAAAATACGGGTTTTGCTTTTAAACCTACAAGTGCAATTCAGTTGACACAATTGCAGGACAATGGTAATTGCATTAATGAATCCTTTAAGCATCCTTTCTGTAGAATTCATTCAGGCCTTAAAAACAGAAATTGTGTTTGTACAAGTACTGTATTCCTTTGTGTTTTTTATTCAGAGTATAAGAAAAAATTGAAAGGAATTTAAGAAAAAACACTCAAAGGATTTAAAAAATATGAAAAGAATTAAAAGTAATTTAAGCAATGACACAAACAGTAAAAAAATACACATATAAGTGTTCAGCAAAAAGTACAAGTATTAAAAAGTTCCAAGTTTCCAATGAACAGCTCTCTCGGGAATCTGAACTCAGACGCATAACTGAAGGCTAAGTTTTCTTAAATGTGACTGTGTTTGGGTCAAACTTTTTCATACTTTATTAGAGTCCTTTTGTGTCCCTTTTAACTTTATTTTAGTTATCAAATTTTTTAAGTATTATTTGTGTGGGCTTAAATAGTTAAACTTTTGCTTGTTGAGTTGCTTGGAGGAAAATTGAAAAAATTTTCTAGTTTTAACTTCTGTTAAGCTGGCAGACACTCGATTTGATTATCAAATAAAATTTTCTCGAAATTGCCTTTTAATAGATTTTAATGTTCTTATTTACATAAAACTTTTAATGTAATAAATGCAGGAAAAACAGATTCAATTTTCGTAGAAATTTTTAATGGATTTTACCGCTTATCGTGCTAAACATAAATCGGTTGGTTAAGGATTTAAAGGAATATACTCGTACATGAGCGATGTTCTTGCTTTTTAGGGAAGCACTAGTGCTGAGTATTTTTATAAAAATCTTTAAATTTTATGCATAGTAATTTGCTCAACGTTTGGATTTATCTATTCGAAACATAGTTTAAAGATTAAAAATTGTATTTATTTTTTAATTAAAATTTTAATTTCAATCACTATTCCCATAAGTTTAGAACAAACTAAGTAAGCAATGGATTATGGATTCTGAGAAACATATCATCACATGCACATCGAGACGTGCATGCATGCACATCGAGACCTATCACAAGCAGATATACGTAAAATTGTGGTAAATTTGAGATTAGCGTAAATACAACATTGTATGAATCTCGTTCACATGTACTTCACGAAATAATTTGCTATGGATTCGATTATCTTGCAAGTTCTACATATCAACGTCAATGTAATAATTTTGATAAATACTCAATTGTCGTCTTACATCAAATATAAATTGAAAATGTCTTAACGATATGTATGTTAAAAAACTATAAATAATTATAAACATAAGAGCTTATTCCCTACGAAGAGGTAGGGCTGCAATACATAGGATGCAAACTATAAACTTTAAAACTGACAAATCGTTTAGTGAGTTAAAAGCACAAAATCATATTAATTGAAAGCGTTTGTTAAAATCTTTAACATCTTAATGAAATATAGAACAGATTACAACAATATTATTGAATATAATAACCAGTACAATAGTAAGTCTAAAATTTAAAATAAAGCGAAAATATAATTCTTCTGTACTTTAAAAAAATTATATTATAATAACTTCATTTATATAAAGATTGGTATAAATATTTTAATAAAAACAGTTTTCTTCTTATATTAATTTTAGACTTTAATATGTGTGACTGGACCAAGTCGTTCGCCCTGTTTTTTTTTTTTTTTTGAAGTTATGTTTCTAATTACAAACATCCTAATTTTTAAACGGTATATTGCGTTACATTATTAACATAAAATAAGCTCAAAACCACAGAGTATTACGATATTATATCCAAGTTAATTTGAGATCAAATTCTGTTCGCTCAATGTTATTATCTTGTTGGAATTATAATATTTAAAGACAACGGGTTTACTTGTTGTTGGTAACAATTTTGAGCCGTAAGGTCCTATATATCATAAACTAAAATATGCTTACGTATAGTGATTATCGATTGATCATCCGATCATAAAAGATCATCCGATGTAAACGATATTCTTAAAGTGTTCCAAATGATTACCGATTGATCATCCGATCAGCCCATCTACCTTGCTCTTGACGAAAATATCCCCACAACCGGGAACTCAGAACAGGTAAATGTTTAACTGCGTTCGACATCTCATTCAAAGATGTATAGAAGTCAGAAAGGTAGATGTAAATTGAACTGAACTCCTTGACTGAAACAACTTTACTATATGTATATTATATATTCCTATTACATATATTATTTACTTTCAAACAAGGTATAATAACCCGGAAATCAAATCATCAGGGCCCCTATAATATACATATTTATTTAGTCTATTCGAAAAAACTTCACTGCCTATTTTTCAGCCGCTAGTATAAATGCTTAGATGGTCTCGTATTGAGCCAGATGTCTCTAGATAGAAACTTAGCATTAAATTATCGAAATTGAGAATGGGAATGTTGTAGTCAATATTTTTTAGAATGGAACTACAGAAAGTAAGAAAGGATTTATGACCGTAGTCAATAACCGTTCACTGTAAAGTAGCTTTAAGTTTTAAATGGTCTAGGATAAAGAAAGTATAATCATTTTTCTGAAACTTTAACAAACTACTTCTAAATAGTGTCAGTTTAAATTTGGTTTGTTTATATTTCTAGCAATTTCTCTAAAAACAAACATTTCTCTTAGATAACAATTTCCATTTCAGTAGTATGTTTTTACTACTCCTAATGAACATTTAAGGTGTATTTCAAAAAATCAATTTATTTTACTTAAAAAATTTATTTAACTTAAAAGTTAAATATTATATTATTAATTTATAAAGAGGTTTTTCGAAAAGTAGTGAACAACAACAAAAATTCATTTTTATATTTTTATTTTTAATTGAATTTTTGGCTGACCATACAGCTGTTTCAAGTATTACCAAATACCCATCATCAGTGGTCTAGGAAAGAATTCTTGTATTTAATTATTTGTAAATAATTTTTTGAGACTGCAAGTACCAGGAATCAAACTCGTGTCCTCCCAAAATTGAAGCTCAGAGTCAGAGTACCTTAACCAACTGACCCAAAGCCGTACTTAACTTTTATGTTCGCACATTTTTCTGGAGTTTTATTACTTTGAAAGTTTTATTAGCAAATTCACATTATGAATTTAATAACTTTATTTAAAAGTTATTCATACTGTGAATCACATCTTTTTTCAGGCGGTTCCCGAAGAGAAAATGTATAACATATCTTCGCATCTAAATTTTCATTATTCATTGATTAAAGTAGCTACCATTTCTAACAAAAAAGGGGAATAACAATTTTTGATATTAGCATTTAATTAATTATGAATTTAATTAATTATTAACATTTAATTATTATTACATTATTATTCCAACTTAACTTTGATCTACACAATGTATATATCATTGTCGTATAGAATTATATTTTCCATTTATGTTTTCTATCAAGTATACATGCATTTTCCAAGCTGTCTCTGTCAATCCTCGTCGTTTCTATTCTATCCGCACCAATTTTGTCGTCTGGCTAATCTCTGAAGTGACTGCACAAACAACAACAAAAAATGTGCTCCAAAATAAACAAACCATTAATGAAGGCGGCGGCATGTGAGGGGATATAAATGAATGTCAGTGACAACTCCCTTAACAAAATAAAAACAAAACGATAATTCTCTCATTTAACAGCAGTGAATTGAGCAAAGTTTACTCACACATTTTCTGCACTGTTAATAACTTTGCTGTTATAAGCTTAACGCCCGTTAACTGTACAGTGAGTAAAATTGTTAGAAGCTCTTAAAACAAACTTAAGAGTAAAAATGCTTCAATTATAAATAAAAATAAGATAAACAAAAAAAAATATAAAACAAAATTGAGTTCACCCAATTTCAACTAAAAAAAGGGCAAAAATTCTGTTTACAGCTGCAACAAAACCAACACAACCAACAGCACCAACAAAAGTACGAATTTAACGAGACGCCCAAAAAAAGTTGACAATATAAAAAGTTATTTATTTGCAACCAAAAATAGCAATCAAGTATTGCCAAGTTTTATTCACAAAGATAAAAATACACATTTACACATCGAATGCAAAACTTTTAACTGCATTAGAATAAAAAATGTATAAAAAGAAACAAATGTCATTTAAAAAGGCATAAATAAAAATTGTTGCAGTTGAAATGCTGGCAATTGACAAAACTTTGACAGCAATGAACTCACCTTAAATGGTTTTTTGTTGTCAGCGTCCATTGTTGCTGTTATTGCGGTTTTTATTTTCTTTGTTATTTTGTCTTTCTGTCTATTCTTTTAAGCACTCGCTGTTTAGCTTAATCAGCTTTTATTAAAAAGTCTTAGAACTTGTATTTAATTATTGTAATTTAAAATTTAAAATTTACAATTATTAATTTACACTCTTAAATAATTTTTATTGTTTTTAATATTTTATTTTCTTTTTAAAAAAAAATTATTTTAAATTAATTATTATTATCAGTTTTTTAATTGGAGCAAATTATGGCGCTTATTTTGTCTTTTGTTTTTGCTTTGTGTTTTACTACACGTATTTGTTGTTTTCCTTTGTTTGAAGTGCTGAGTAGCACGTTATTTAGTGTCACGTTTTATTTTGAGAAACTCTTAGAATTTTTATCTGTAGCTTCTACTAGAACTTATCAGAAGCAAGCACCGGTCTGACTTCGAATGAGCACAAATTTGCAAATGTTTGCATATTTATTAAGCCACCAAATATATTTTACTGTTCTGTACTGTTAAGTCGCTGTTAAGCGTACAGCGCAGCACAACACAATTTGTTCAAGCTTAATACGTATAACACTACAATTTATTGGTATTTCATACTCTTCTTCTCTTGTTTTAAAGTTGAATGGAATTATGCTGTTGCTTTCATTCTGTAAAGCGGCAGTATTTTTTGATTTTGCAATGATGACAATGTGAGAGTTTCTAGTTCTTTAGCTTTAGCATTATAGCATTGTTGTTGTTCTTCATGTTAACTGACTGTTAAGCAGTAGAATGTGTTGTTCGTGTTTTTTAAAGTTAACGGAGATATAACAGTAGCAGGTGACAAATGGGAGTGGTTGCTTGGGGGTGTTAAATTATTACTTAAGAATGTTGCCACCTTTTAAATCACACATAGTATTTATTTCTTTTATTGTTTATATGTTTATACCGCAAAATTTAAAATATTTTTTGTTTATTTTATATTATAATTTTATTATTTTAAACTTTGTATTTTATTATAAATAATACGAATTCTATGCTTGTAAAATCAGTTGTCATACTCCGCTCTTGACGAAATATTCAAAAATATTTTAAAACATCGGCAATAATTTATTATAGAAGTAAATAATATAAAAAAAAATCGAAAATAAAAAGCACAAAATAATTTTATTCATACAAAATATTTTTATTGAAGTAGTAAAAGTACTTAAAAAAATCAGCAAAATTCTTTTTACGTATTTGAAAATATAAAATATTAGAAAAACATCAACTAAACGAATTTGTTATGGTTAAAAACAATATAATCTTAAATATATATAATACTATTTTATACTTCACAATTACTTCACTTCAATTAGCATTAACTACAAATTAGATTTAAGTATTTGCATTATGGAAATTTAGTTAATCAATCAATTTCTCAATTGTGTTGGTGTCCAGACCTCCAATTGAAGTACCGTCACCAACAATTTTATTTTTTTAGAAGGTGGTAAGCATCGAAAGCCACTACCTTCTTTTTTTTGGTGGAAGAAAAACTCGAAAGCCTAGTCAGTGGGGGATTTCAACCGCCCTAAAAATTCCTCTCATCCGGACGAAAAGCTTCTACTGAAATTACCGTTAAGTACTACATCTGAAGCCACTAAAACTATCTTTTAGGAATGGTTAGTAAATAAAAACAATACTTACAACTTTAAAGTCTATTGTGCTTTGACAGTTCCCAATTACTCGACTTCATTTAGCAATAATTGCCCATTAAATTTATTTCGATAATCATCGAAGCCGCAACGATTTCAATAAACGTATTTGGAAAATATTGCATAATTTAGACATAAAGAAGAGGTTTTTTATTTTAGGTCCTTCGTCTACTTATCTTGAACCCAAAATGTAGTTGGAGAAAGTCTGAAAAAATTCCATAAAAGACAAAAACTTTTTTGTGTATTACTTGCAGAATTTAGCAAGAGACTTGTAGTTTTTTGTCGCACTTTCGAGCAGCCGAATGCAACTATATAAAACTTGATAAGGTGGCATCACATATTGCTCACAAAAAGTTTTATCCATGCACTGTTATTTTCATTGAACTCTCATTTATGTTTAATCAAATGTCTGTCTGTTATTCTAACTGAGACCACAATAAGTCCTAACAATAAAACCAACAAAGCAGAAGATAAAGCGTGCATTGGCATTGTGTAGTGTGTAGTGTGTGGCGTTAAGCATCTTAGGAGTATTGGGGAATCTAAAGGGATGAACTGTGTATAAGCGAAGTATAAGCGGAATGATAATGTGGTACATATAGGATGAAAGCACGTTGCCAATGCTTAATGTATGCAAATGCGTATAACATCAATCAAAATACCATAAAAACACAAAAGAAAAATGCTTCAACGTACTTCAATGCTATAAAAATCAATGTAAACCGCATTTTTGCCTTTCACGATTCACTCCGCGAACAAACCACATGCGAAAGCGCAATGACTGTGAGGACTATAAGGACTGTAAGGACACGCTTGAAATGCTTACGTACTTAAATTTAAACAGCGCTCGCTACACAAAATTAACGCCAATTTCAGTATAAAGTAGGTGTGCCGGTTTCAGTATAACAATTTACATAAAAATAGGAAACCGAGAACACCGAGAAAACCGAGATATTCAAAATCGTGTCTGATATGGGAAAAATCGCATGCTGCAAACTAGGTTGCCTGCATATTTAAGGACGTACTCGGCAGTGGCGAACGTGACGTGACGGTGAATGTCAGAAAATATTCGAGTTTTCCACTTTCAGTTACTTTCAAAACAACAAAAACAACAACAACATTTTTGTGTGCTTTAAATAATTAAATATTTTCATCATTTACATAAAAACAGAAAACTGAAAACTGAAAAGTGTAAACTATACTCATAAGAATTTCTATTTATTTTCCACTCTCTATCTTGGTTTTCTCCTTTGAAATCTTGGCACTGTCAGGCAATTTAACTTTGGTTACAAACTTTTGGGGTAAATGACATGTTGGCGTCTATCACAAACTCTTTCATTTGAACAGAATAGGATTTTCTTTTTGTATCTGTAAGTGCATTTGCTTTTATGCTTAAAGATTCTTAAGGTTTTAGTAGCTTCTTTTCCTAACAAGAAACAACTTTGAGCTGCGACTACTACTTACATTTACTTGACAACGACGTTTTCAGAAACGACCTCATATGACCGTTGTTGGAGAGTATTTATAAAAATTTTGTAAAACACTTAAAAGTTTTACTAAAATTATTATCCTGGGGGAAGAGTGTAATTTCTTTTTCTCATGCTTTCAACTTATTCTATATTATTATATGTATGTATGAGTAATATTTCTTTTTACTGCCTTAAGTGATATCCTTTGGGTGCATTTAAGGAACAAATTAATTTCTTCTTTGTGAAAGTCAAACAAAGCCAAGTAAGGAAATTAACACTAGAAAATCTTAAAGAGGAACAATTCTTCAATTTTAAACTGCAGAAAAGGATTTTAAGTGAAAGGACTATAAAGCTCAATTCAGAAGCAGATCTCATGGAACTCATAACTATGTTTGTATATTACAAAAAAAAAACATAATTCTTACATTTTTAATGTTCTACGTTTAAGCGGGTGATGGGTTTGACATAAAAGCTATAATATTTTTAATACACTTTTTAATAAACCTTAAAATAAAATGTTTAATCTTAAAACTAAACACAACAAATGTTAGAATATGTGTTAATCTACTTACTTATAAACACTTGCAGTTCCTTGTAGTTAAGTAAGGTTAGGTCATACCGGCGATTCTAAAGATCCACTTAAACCTCTTACCTCATTGTATTACCATATAAGAGCTTAGAGGTTTAAAAGCCAACTTGAACCTTTGGAAAAACCTAAAATGCGTTTTACAAAAAAAAAAAAACAACAATAATTCTATTAACTAAAATTATATATAAGATCTGTAATAAGTATAAATAGTTTACATATAAGTTGCATAGTTGTTTTTAATATTAGAAATTCTCCTGATGAAAGCAAAAGCGAATTTGCTGAAATACTTATAGAAATATACTAAAAATAACGCTCGAAATATAAGTTAAAATTCTTAAAAAACACAAAATCGTCTCTAAAATGCTCTTTCAAGGGAGGTTCTGGAACTGATCAAGAATTCCAAGAAAGTACACAACATTAATAAATAAATGGCGCCGCGCATGTTCAGGACATGTACAAAATAGTTTTTGGTTACCTTTACCTTGGCTTGGAGAAGATTCTAAATCTTCGGGACCTCATTCCTAACTGATCTAACAAAACTGCCATCTTTTAAAATCAAGGGCTTAGCCAAATTTACAAATATATCAGTTTGGTTCTCCAATAGAGGAGTCACACCTTTTTAAAAAGAAGTCGATTGTGTGGTACATACTTGGAGCTTCTGCCTTTAAGTTGGCCTCTGGCGCTGGCAAAAGGAAGGTGTCTCATTTATGATACAACAACGGATAAGTACTGGGTAAATATCAATACAGTTTCCCTCCAAGTAGATCAACCATTTATCAATATTTTACAATATGTCAGATTTTCGAAAAGTTCCATGAATATGATATTGACTATACATTCATAGGCTTTCAAAAAGCTTTTGACAAAATATACCGGTCAAAAATTAAGTTAGCACTATTAAAGAGTGGAATCTCAATAATACTGACCAACTTAATTATACTAACACTCCAGAACACAACAAGTCAAGTATTCGTTCGAGATAATTTAACAGACCCGCTCAGAGTTGAATCACGAGCCTCAGTAATACTCTCTCTTCCCTTATATTTAATCTTCCTTAATACTTATACTTAATAGTGTCCTATCAGAAATGAACGTTGATAAAAATCTGTTTAACAACGGCATCCAATTTTGTGGCTACACCGATAATATTACTATATTAGTCAGAAGCCCCAATGCTTTAAGATCGTCATTAAGAAAATTTAAGAACTCCACTGCATTAATCGAACTAAAAGTTAATCATTAAAATGCGAAATATATGCTAAGATCAAAATCTAGAGTCTGTAGTAACCAGTTTATTCTTGACAATAATAGGTTTGAAGCCGTCACAGAATTCAAATATCTTTGATTGATACTGAATTCTAAAGAAGACACATCAGCTGCGATAGAAGATAG